AGTGTTTTATGTGGTCATGAGAAAGTGAACTGGAAAGTGTAACAACTCCAAGAATGGAATGAATTGGGGCTGTTTTTGTGTTCAGCACTGTGTTAATTTTGGCCACAAGATGGTGCTCTAATCCTATTGCATGGTTTAGTTTGCAAAGTGCCAGTATGGGGAACACTATTTTCTACCTATTCAAGAAAGATTATACATGTATTTGGCACATGATTACAGTGAAATATAACTTTTCAAGGCCCCTTACAGCTCTAATATTCTATGAATATGTCTTCAGGAGCTAGCTCACCTCTCCTTCAGGATGTTGTAAGTTAAGAATTTGATGTTTGGATAATTCCCCTCTGATGCCAAGATATGGATGTTTGAGCTCTTTAATTTTTAAGATATTTTTCTGGGCCCCTTTTACTTTCTCCCTATTTTTTTTTTTTTTTTTTTTTTTTCCTTTCTTTTTGGCATCCGGCTAGTAAGGGGATCCGAACCCTTGATCTTGATGTTAGCCTACTTTTTATGATTGGAGAAAATGCACTGCAGAGGCAGGGGAATCCTAGTGTCCGTCTTGATGCTTCCTAAACCCAGATTCAACATTCTTCCCATCAGAGAGGCCAGCTCACAACACTCCCCTGCTGAGAGATGCCCACTTCAGGATGCTCAGCTGGCAGCCGGCTGCCCAAGTTCTGCATCTTTAAGCCTTTTTTCCCCCCTCAAAGGGATCCCCTTTGATCCCTGTATTATGTCTCCAAACCTCAATTTGTAGAGACTTTTGACCATTGTCCTCTAGGACCTAGAGCTGTGACTCTTCCCTTTGGTTGGGTATCAGAGCAGTTGAAAGCCATGGTTCTTTTTGTAGAACACCAGAGATGACTGCTAGACTTAATCCCATCTGGCAAACTAAGAACAATTTTTCCAGGAGAAAATTCATGCAGTCAAAAATCATACCTATAGGCACACACATGCTCCTGAAAAAAGAAAGCTCTTTTGACATCGGTAGTGTCTGTGCTTTCCGTTAATACTCATTTGTTCTTGTTCATTTATCTGGCTGCCTGTTAGTGTTCACTGACAGACTAATGGTTTAAGAAAAATTTCTCGGGGTAAACCAATTGAGAAAACTAAAAGCATTAACTTATTCTCCCTTCAAGTGAGGAAGAACTCCATTATTTGATTATTTGGAGAATGTCTTTTTACAAGAGCTGTTATACATTGAAATTGCAAAATGAACAGAGTTTGTTCTATTCTCTTTTTGCAAAAACAGCTAGAGAAGGATATTTGTAATTCAGAGAAGAGTTTGCCTGACTTTCTGATGATGCTTCTTCTACATAAATTACTGATGTCAGCATCTTGACACCAAGACAACATGTCAGTAAGGGCCGAGAGACATTTAGCAATAGATTATATGAGGGTACTTTAAAAGGTTCATGGAAAGATTTGTATTCTTTCACTGTATTTTCCATGAACTTTCTGAAGTACCCTCGTACAGTCAATAAGACAAACATAGTAAAAAATCAGCTGATCACCATCAGATTAACTTGATAATGATGTTCATGGGGCTCCTGACCATCTGCCACTAAGACTCAATTCTTGGTCCTAGGATTGTTTTCCTGTCTACAAAAAACAGGCCTGCCAAACTTCTCTTTACCTTTGGTAGCTGGAATTATAAACTTCAGATGAAGGAAGTATAGCATTAGGAAATTTAAAAATTCATTTCCAGGCCGGCCCCATCGCTCACTCGGGAGAGTGCAGTGCTGGTAGCTCCGAGGCCGCAGGCCGCGGATTCGGATCCTATATAGGGATGGCTGGTGCACTCACTGGCTGAGCGTGGTGCAGACCACACTGTACCGAGGGTTGCGATCCCCTTACTGGCCTAAAGAAAAAAAATTCACTTCCATTTTGCTACTTAACATTCAATCATTCAGCCTGCAAACACTTAACAATGTACTTGGTATATGAAGAACAGTGATTTCTCCTTTAGCAAATTTCTCATTTAAATCACATCTCTCTCTCTTTTTCTTCAAGACTGAAGAGAGTCAAAGGTTCAGTTTGGTAATCTCCGAAGAGATGGGGCTTTAAAGCCAATGGTAACACTCTTTAGCCTCTCAAAGTGGACTCTCAATAGGCAAAGGTCATAGTGTCTTTCAAAATTCACAGGAGGTGGAGGACATAGAAGTCACCTGCCAGCTTACACAGTCCTCACCTCTCTCCCAGCTGTCACCACTGATCAATCCTAGGAAGTGGGCATTTGCTATTCTGCTGGCTCAGAAAATTTCTGCCATTTCTACTTCAGTTTCTTGGACCCCTTAATGTGGAGCTTGTGTTTTTCATTTTCAGAAAAACAAAGAGTTACCAGTACAAAGGCCACTCCCTTGTTCCTTTTTGTAGAGTTCTCTTATGATTGGGGTTTTTTTCAGGTCACCTGTCATTATCTCCTTTTTAGGACAAAGACTCAAAGGCCAATAAGACATAAAGCTTTCAGTGTATTTGGGTCAGCGCCTACTCCCTTTTCCATTGTATCTCGGGCAGAATTGAAAGTACCCATCTCATTAAGTATCAAAAGAGTGACTTCACTGGTTGTTGGCCTCAGTTTTCCCATAGGTCTACCATTGTGTTACTTTAGGAAAATTGCAGCCTGTCTCCTATTCAAACTCAGTGTGATGTCTAATCTTTGTGATAAGTAGTTTTGCTCAAACATGTCTATGTAGCAAAAATGATCTACCACAGGCCTGTAATTTTTGTGGCAGTCTCAATATTTTAATTTTTTTCCAGTTTCCCTCAAGGAAAGGAATTTTCATAGTTTGGTCTTTTTGAGGTAAAATGGACCACAGACTCATCAATTTAGGTATATCAAATGGTGAAAGTTGAATTATACAAAAAAATAATTGGAGAGGAACTTTTCCCCCAGTACAGAGATTATAACAGATTTCGAAAAGTCTGCCAGAATTAGAATCTGGGTGTTGACTGGTGAGGAAGGGGTAAAGGTGAATAAGTTAGGAAAATCAGGTGAAAATAGAGAAGATATATAGTCTGGGAACCTTGATACTATGATTTTCCAGGTATATCATAAATTTGAAACTTTACTATCTAATAATCAAAGAGGTACTCAGAAATGGGACCAAATACTTCAAAATTTAATGTGTCCAGTAAAATGTGACCAATGTACTATTGGGGAACAGCCCATTTGTATCACATAACAGGGTCACTGTCACATGAGAAAGGGAAACTCTGTGGTCCTTTCTGGAGCGAGGATTGCTGGAGACAGGAGCTGGACACTTTTACATCCTCTCTCGTTCTCATACCCACTTTGACCTACTTCCATATCTTGTAAATATGAAGTGGTCCTTTCTGGAGCGAGGATTGCTGGAGACAGGAGCTGGACACTTTTACATCCTCTCTCTCGTTCTCATATCCACTTTGACCTACTTCCATATCTTGTAAATATGAAGGTACTGCAAAAACTTCGTGGAAAGGTTTGTATTATCTTTTAATTCTATTTTTCCACACACTTTTTGAAGTACCCTCATACACTTGCAACAGTGAGGTATCTTGCTGTGCTAGGATCGTCTCTTTCCCAAGATTAAGTTACCTGGAGAAAAGACATACTTCTGTCTGTATCCTCTAGTATTTGGTACCCAATAGGCACTTGTGATGGTTAATATTTGGTGTCAACTTGACTGGGATAAGGGATACCCAGATAGCTGGTAAAGCATTATTTCTGGGTACGTCTGAAGGTGTTTCTAGAAGGGATATGTATTTGAATCGGTGGACTAAGGAAGATCCATCCTTATCCAGTGTGTGCAGGCACCATCCAAGCAGTTGAGGGCTTGATTAGTACAAAAAGACAGAGGGAAGATGAATTTGCTCTCTCTTCTTGACTTTGGACTCCCATGTTCTCCTGCCCTTGGACAGCTCCCCTAGTTCTCCAGCTTGCAGACAGCATATTGGACTTCTCAGCCTCCATAATCACGTGAGTCAATTTCCATAATAATAAATCCCCTCTCATCTATCTATCTGGAGAACCATGACTAATACAGCACTCGAATGAATGAGTGAATGAATCAAATATATTATTCTCATTTTACTGACAAAACTATTACTATTTTAAACTATTCAAAATAATATACTGAATGCAAGTAGAATACTGGAACACTGGCTTGTAAAGGCTTTAATACCTATTACCATGTTTCCTAGAGTGTAAGTGGCCTGAGGTATCCCTTCAAAATAATTTTTTGGCATTTACTTCTTAATAAAGAAGCAGTTCTCCCTTTCTCCCTTCTCTCTTGGTTAGCTGAAGTATACATACTTATTTGCAAACAGCAAAGCTTGGCTCACTTAAATGGGAATTGCAAATGGCAAACTGGTAGAGTGCCAAATGTGAGTTTTTAATGTATAATTAAAGAGTGACAAGTAGAGCTAATGAGCTAAAAAAAAAAAAAAAAAGGAAAAAATGTTTTTAAGTTTTGATAAGAAATGTTTTAAACCATTCTGATTAAGATAAGACTATGCAAATCTTTAGGAAAATTATTGAAAAAAAAAGGCAAATGGTAACATTAGAATTGTGATGTTTGAGTTAAACTTGGACAGTTATCCCAAAAAAGAATGAAAAAAGGTCATTTCAGAAAACAAACACTCCAGCCTATCACCAAAATGAAACTTTCACTGCTCCCTCAGATTTCCAGACTATATTAGTACCCAGCAACTTCTTTCTGTACTTGCTACAAAATCCCTGTCTTTGCTGCGACGACCATTGCTTGAGTGAACTGCGGTTACGATTAGAACTAGGATAACCATAATAGTTACTCTCTTGGAGCGATCTATAAATTGAGAAGTGTTGAAGCAGGGAATAGTGTTTGCTTGTCAGATTTAAAGGAAAAAGACAGAAAAAGTCCAGGGCCTTTGAACTTCCTGCCGTTTGCTTAAGTGCAAATGTTTATTAGAAGAGGCTGAAGTATTTTTAAAGGGTTCGGTTTCTTTTTTTATATTTTCAAGTAACAAAGAAATGTCATTTTCGGTTTGTTTTTTTACTACTTATAACACTTTATTTTCACTTTGTACAAAATACAAAAATGCAAATCCGAAGAGTACAGACCAGTAGTGACAGGCACACTGCACAACAGCAAACCTTGTCTAGCAAGACATTAGTTTTTTAAACTTTATTTAAGTGGATACATGCATTATATAAAACAACATCAACAACAACAATAAAAACACAAAGAGGCTACAGATTCACTATTTCTATCCCCAAAATAATGCTTTCTAACAAGACTTTGGGTGGGGATGGGGAAAAGATTTAAAAAGGCAAATAATATTTTTTTCCATAAAAATGTAAAAGCTACCATAAAATGTCTTTTTTTCTTTTTTTCCTGTCACACTGATTAAATTTCTTCTGAAAAGCCACACATACAAACAAAACAAAACAAAAATTCTGAACTGGACAGACAGCAAATACTGAGGAGGGTTGTTAACCTAGGTAACCATTCAGTAGTTTAAAGAATCTTTTAGACGTTTTGAAGCCTTTCTATTCATTCCTCAGTGCAGTGTTCCAGCCATCCTGCCCTTTTTTCTTCTAAAACCACCCAGAACAGAAATGCTTGCATCACTGAGTCTGTTCCTAAGAACTAGTTTTGAAAAAGGAAGCAATGTACAAAAATATTTAACAGAACTATGAAAGATGTAAGAAAGGAGTCTTTTCTTCATTGCAAAGCAGTCTTTGCTTTGCATGGATTCTTTTGTATACTCTTCAGGGTTTGTTTATCTGCCCCATGAATAAGACAGCACCTACAGAATTAAAAGGAAACAATGCATAACTCCATAAAAGAATAACTCCTAAAATAATATGATAGGTATTATAGTTAAAGGAAGGGAAGGGGAGGAGCCTTGTTTAACCTATTTCTCAGTAGTGCTGTGCAACAGAACGTTTTGCAATGATAGATATGGTCTATCTTCACTGTCCAATATGGTAGCCACTGGCCACTTGTGGCTATTGTGTGCTTAAAATGTGGCTAGTGTGACTAAGAAATTGATTTTTAATTATATTCTATTTAAATTAATTTAAAGTTAAGGTTAAATAGCCACATGTAGCTAGAAGCTCTCACATTGGACTGTTCAGCTCTAGCGTACACTAAGTAGGACATTAAAGATGCAATAAGATAAAAGCTTTAGGAACTATCTTATATTACTGATTAAAAAATAGTACAAAGTTAAGGTTAAATAGCCACATGTAGCTAGAAGCTCTCACATTGGACTGTTCAGCTCTAGAGTACACTAAGTAGGACATTAAAGATGCAATAAGATAAAAGCTTTAGGAACTATCTTATATTACTGATTAAAAAATAGTACAAGTAAAATGTATTAATGCCAAGTCTGTATAACATGGAGCCAACTTTTCCACAAAGGCAATCTTAATAACTGTACTAACACATAGGAACTATCGTTATTCTCATCTTAAAGATGAAGCTAAAGGCCAGATCCAAATTTGAACCCATAACTTGTAGAGCTAAGATCTACTGAATTAACAATTTCCAGGTCATAATAACACAGTGGGCTTACAAATTTTGAAGACATGTAGCTTCTTACAAAATTTAACTACTGTATTTATGAAAATACAGAAAAATTAATAGTCAAAAATGCCCCCAAAGGGATGCTGAGCCTCTCTAGATGTTTAAAAAACAAGAAAACAAAACAATAAAAAAGGCCCAAAAAACCTAAAATCCTGTCAGTATTTACAAGATTCCATCACACTCTGTAAACACAGCCTTGATTTTCCTGTCTTTAACGTGGGTGGCTGTATCATTCAAAGTGTTTGCAATTGTTGACACAAGGGAAAGGATATATCTATGACTGCAATACGCCTTTCTGAATTCTAATAACTAGTGAACAACTGAAGAGGAGAATCACTTACCTGTGGGATTATGTCGGATGAAAAATAGAAAAGGTCTGTCTACTATAAACCAGGGAGGCGATGACCTTGCAATTAGAATTGCAGCTATGGGAAGAAAAGGAAAATGTGTTGTACACCCAGTGGGAGGCCAGCAAGCTCATTAGCTTGATGGATGGCCCTCACATGCTAGCATCTGAGGACACTTAATTCCTGTCCCATAGGCTGGCCATACAATAACAGGCTCAATAGTCACCATTTATTGAGCACCTAGCAGGGGCCAGGCCATTTACATATACCGTCTCATTTACAAAAACACCATCTTCTCTAATGATGTACTTACTCCTCATAGAGTTTCTATGAAGATTAAATGCCCTAAAACATAGTACAGCTCTTAGAACAGTGTTTGTCATTAAATAAACACCCAATGTACATTAACTTTTTATTTTTAACTATTTTTTATTCATACAAACTGCCTTACTGATAAAGCCCCCTTGTCCTTTTTAGCCTGTCCAGATCCTTTCTGTACAGCAGGGCCCAGCTTGATCCTCAGCTTCTCCTTTGGATCATCATCCCAGCAATGTAGACCACCAATCTGGGATCTGCTACCTTATATTGCTACTCGACTCATCAGCTGTAGACATCTGTCTTAGAAAGCAAACTTCTTTAGGCTCGGGGGTTTTAGACATGCCTACTCTGCCATGCTTACCAATGGTGGCTTCCATTTAGTAAGCCTGTGACAAGGCCTCAAAGGAGGGCAGGTGTGTGGCATAAGTACCACATACCTGCTGCAATGGTTCAGTCCTCTTCCTCAAACCCCTGGGAAGCGTTAACAACCTTATCTTCATGTTATAAAGGAAACGTCTGCAGTTATGCTGGGGCAAACCATTCTACCCAGGGTTATTAAAAACAAATGAATAGTTAGCAGGTATTATGGATTGAATTGTGTGTCTGCCCCCCCCCACCCCCCTACCCCTCATTCATATGTTGAAGCCCCAACCCCTTAATGTGACTGTATTTGGTGATAGGGCCTTTAAGGGGTAAATTAAGGTTAAATGAGGTCATAAGGGTAGGGCCCCAATCCAATAGGGGTGGTGTCCTTATTAGAAGGGGAAGAGACACTAGTGATGTGTGCACACAGAGAAATGACCATGTGAGTATAAATGGTACCTTTTTAGTGACCAGAAATATTCAGCCCAGCTGCAAGTAAAGCTAAGATATTCACCTTATGAGCTCACAAAGTTTGGCCAGATCTATTCATCCAATCTCAAAACAACTTAAGATTGTTCTACTTTCTCCTTCATTATATAAGCCACTGAGGAGAAAGCAGACGTGGATGTTCTAATTATCAAGGAAGGCTGCATAGCAATCCTGCTGCAATTCAACAGATGCTCACTACTTCTTCACGTTGTCCTGGATAGACCTGATTGGCTATTTTTCTTTAAGCACTTGCTGTTATTTTATGCTTCAATCTGAAGACTGGTCTTTTCTGCCAGTAAGAAGCCAGAATGTGCTTTATCCTCCTAAGAGCAGGGGTCAGCAAGCTACTGTCCACAGGTCAAGTCTACAGGGCCAAATCCTGTTTATAAGTCAATTCTTGTTGGAACACGTCCACACCCGTTCACTTGTACTGCTTTCACGCTACAATGGCAGCATTGAGAAGTTGGGAGGGAGACAGTATCATCCCACAAAGCTGAAATACAGAGTATCTGACTCGCTGCAGAAGTTTGCTGACTCCTGTCCTAGAGAAATTCCTTTAACTGAAATGCTGTTCTTTAATGAAACAAACTCTGCGGTTCTTGGCTGCAGGTCCTTGAACTGTCTAGACTTACTGCTGACTCCCGAGGGTGAACCCACAGTGCCCGGCTGGAACTAGGCTCATGACATATTTGCTAAATGAATGAATGGATGGGTGCACATTTGCTTCCCTGCTAGAGCGAGCCCTGCCATGTGGCTTGGTGCTTACTTGTTGCTGCTGAGGCTTTGGTTCCATCTTCACTGACTTCAATTTTTGCTTTTTGCAAGATGTGAGAAACATGAAGGTTTTCTGACCCTGTTTCCAGAAAATACAACCAAGTCAGCATCTGTTTGATATGCAGGCCATCTGTTTGGTTGGGAAGTAACCTTAAAGCCATGGTAAATTACAATTCTTTTCTTTCCTTTTCTTTTTCTTTCTTTTTTTTTGAACAAGCCCATTACTGACAAACCAATTCTTAAAAAGTGCCAGGAGAAGTGACCCCTGACAGATCTGGTGGTGGAAGGCTGCAGACGGCTGTCACTTGTGGTGAATTTTGGTCTCTGCTAGGTGAATTGTGACACTCAGTTCTGCGGATGGAGGCCCAGACCCCACGTGTTTTAGTGCCTCTATCAATTCAACTCTGATCACTATGAATTTTATTTAAAAATGGAAAGAGCAGAGCTTTAAAAAGGGAGCACGGTTTTCCAGAAGAAGCGAGACAACAATATTATTTTTCAGTTATTGAATATCAAACCCAGAAAGAATTTCAGACAGCATTTACAGATGGGGAAACTGAGACCCAGGGTGTTAAGAAATCTGCCTCCAAATCATACAGCTAGTTGGTGGCAGAGTGAGTGCTGGCTTTCCATGGCAACAGCCTCTCATCCCATGGGCATATGAGTGAGAGAAGAGTGTTGACTTTAGACTTGTGGAGGGGAGAGGCAGGAATGCAGCTGTGCCTCAGGGACGCTCTGTGAACTCACGTTCCTTCTCAGCAAAGCCTGACTATCCGGGTAATACCTACTGGGAGTAGCTTTTAAGGAGAACACATGCTGAAGTTATTGTTAGCCTGGATGGGACATAGATCTGGATGCAAAGATTGCAGCTGTGCCTCAGGGACGCTCTGTGAACTCACGTTCCTTCTCAGCAAAGCCTGACTATCTGAGTAATACCTACTGGGAGTAGCTTTTAAGGAGAACACATGCTGAAGTTATTGTTAGCCTGGATGGGACATAGATCTGGATGCAAAGACATACAGTACTCTTTGTGTCATCTGGTTTCGAACTGTCTGCATGAACTCCCACCTCTAATATGACCAAGCGTGACTGAGCTGCATGTTTATAGGGCCTGCGTCACTTGCAGGTTAAAGAGAACTTCTCAGGAGAATTTGGGGCACCTATCCTCCCTGTGAACACCTCCCTCCCCATTTAGTATTTAGGCTATAACTGATAACCCTGAAGGAAAAAGTGTAAGTTAAAACAGTGCTTTTCAGACTTTTGTGGCTGAGGGCATTGACAATGAAGATTCTAATTCAGTAGGCCTGGGTCAGACCCATTGTACGTTTCATACAAGCTGCCAGGTGATGCTAATGCCGTTGGGCTGGGGAGCAGAATTCGAGTCACAAGGGATGGAAGGATATGAGAACAGCCATGGAGCTACAGCTTCACCAGGGGAGCCGTGTTTGTTCCCAGAACAGGTACTCAGGTGTGCACTAGCACACAGCGGAGGTTGACACTGAACTGATTTCTTACCACTCTAGGGGAAAAATAGAAACTGCAGGACAGATAATGTTCACGCCATGACTTTTCTTTGGAAGGAGGTTGCTATATTCTAAATTTAAAAGAGAAAGAACTGACCATTCAAACACAATTCTAGAAAAAAAGTACATGTACTGGCCAATGAAGGGAAGTGACCAGGTACGTCTTAGTTGCTTTGGCAAAAAAGTTCTACTCAAACTCACTTGAATTTATATTATTTCAGATTAATGGGCATAAAATGCCAAAATACATATCTGAATATATCTGAATACAGTTGCTCAATGGAAGTAGGCAAATATTTGAGAGCTCAAAAAATCTTGATTTTTTTCAAACGTAAAGTTTGCATTTGAAAACAAAAAGAGGCTAATACCTAATTAAGAGCCAAACTTTTACATAATAGAGGCAATATATGAAATGCTTCTTTAACTGTGTAGTCCCCAGGGCTTCAGAAGAAATGCACATGTAAAATATAGAGATGAACGACACACGCTGAGTTAAATGACGAAGGTCAATAGCATCAATTCACAATATATCAAAATTAAACATTGGACAGTTTTAGGACAACACATTCTTAATTCTGACTTTTTCCCTCTGAACAAATCTGAAGCTCTGTTTGGAACATTTTCTTCAAGTTTAAGAATAAGTTTTAAATTGAACATACTTGTTATTTTTGCAAAATTTGCCTTTAATGGATCAAACATCTCAGTGATGCCAAGAATTTTCAGTGCCTCCTTCAAATCTGTTTGTGCTACAGCTGTGAACCTATCATGAAAGAAGGAAATAAGGGGAAAGAATCACTAGGTTATAAATGATACAAAATTATATAATCAGTGCATGTTTACAAACTGATTCTTTTTAAAGTAAGATATGAGCACCAGTCTGAATTGTATCTTAAGTTTAAATCCCAAAATTTGAATACCAGCTAAGTACAGAACTCATCTCTCAAACACTTAGTTGGCAAAATACACAGTACTTACCAACAGCTAGTATGGGCGTTCTCACCTCTTCCAATACTTAGCAAGATCTACCAAAGCACTTTCTTTTATACTGATGTGGAGCTTCATGGTGTTACCAAGTTCTTGGTACTGTGGAATACCTACAGTTTTTCCCCATATCGAACTAAAGAGCCATCATCTTGGCTGCTGCAAGAACCACCATCCTTACTGGGATTGAAGATGGCCAAAAAAGAGGAGCTACACATTCCTGTTAGTTTATGTTGGGATTTTGAAAGCATTTTACTGTTAAAACAGGAAAAGATATTAGGAGTAGGTGATGTGGTATTATATTTGGGTATAATATGGGTTTCTTGGATATGTGTGGCCTACCTAGCCTTGGGACCAGCATATGTAAATGCTGGTTATTACACCTGTCATCAGAGGATGTTTTACCAGATTTGATCTCATCCTGCAGAAAAGCAACAAGGGTAGGTGGGCAGGTTCTCATCACAGATGGGCTACAGTGGTGATTGACCTGTGTGTCACCCATGAGGCCTACAACGCCACCTTCTTATTCATTTATGTCAAGCATTGACTACTTGAGGGCTTATCTTACCAAAAACAATAATCTTGGGAGAATTACTAACATTTACTATGAATATATTACTCTGAATACTTAACTCCATGACTGAAGAATCAAAAGCTAGGAGAACTTTCCACTACTACCCAGGCCTGGGTAGTTAAAAGCTCTGGATAATGGGAGAACGATAATGTTCTAAAGTTCATAGCAAGGGGATAACACCCAGTGCCTCCTTCACAGGTCTGGACAAAGCATTCCCCCACCAGTTAGAAACACAGGATTCATACAGAATTTGGGATTACTTTTCCCTTGGCCTCAAGTCATAAGAGCTCAAATTCCATCTATATTATACTTTTAGGATGTAATAGAAAAATTGCCTTAGATACCAATGTAAGAATTCCACCTGTGTGGTTTCAAAATATTTCCTTACCACCTAGCTTTTGGGCCTTGGTCTTCAGCAACTTCTAGCTAAAACTTAATAATTACACTGTAGCTCTTTATCAAAACACTTGAAGTTCACTGTACTTTCAACCATACTATATGATACATAGGTGTTTTTCAGTCTTTTGAACAGAAGGAGATATGTAAAAAGCGTTCACAGTGTCATGAAGAGCATGTGCGCACGTGGTGGTTCAGAGACCAACCCTGCCTCCTCCCCTTTCTTTTTATTATCTTACCATGCAACAGGCACAGGGATTAAAAAAAGCTTTTAGAAGAGCATAGCCTGGTTTTCCCACCATGCAGTGTCTGCAAAATAAAACAGACCTCATCCTGTGCCACAGTTTAGCCTCACGTTTCTGGTATGCAACACAATAGCTACCTATTGAACAATCCCATTATTGTCTTCCAGGGAAAGGGGCAACTTACTTGGGCAGGATCACCTGCACCCTCTTGGGCACCATGGTGCCCATCCAGCTGTCTATGGTCTTGGTGCTGATGTGCGGGATGATGGCCGACAGTGGGGTGGAGCTCTCGGTGGGCAGCGCAATCAGCATGCTGATGCTTTCCCCGTGGTAGGGCAGTTCGATGAAGTTGTACCACACATCACTGGGGGTGCTTGTAGCCCCTAAAGAAATCAGAGGCAGGTTCAGTGCATCCTGGATGATGCCTGGAAGGCATGAGTGCTGGCTGGTCACCTGGGTAGCTTCTCAGGGAAGAAAACAATTCAGTTGCAGAACTTCCTGTTTTTATAAATAGTTTGTTTAGAAGGACTATAAAGATAAGAATAATTATTTCTTCCTTCCCTGGTGAAGAATGCTCTTTTGTCAGTCCAGACAGAATGCATTTGGACGTCACTAAGATCACTTTAATTCTGTTGAGTAGACTCTAACTAGAACATAAGGCACTTAGAATATAGTGCTTTGCAAGAAGTTGACTCTTACTATACGAATAAAAGAATGAATTTAAGCTACCTTAGAATCCTTCTTTTTTAAAAAAAAATTTACTTGCTTAAAAAATAAATTGTATTGTGTATATTTAAGGTACACAATATGATATGGGATACATATAGATAGTAAAATGGTTACTACAGTGAAAGTTAACATACATATCATCTCACAGTTACCCATTTTGGGTTTGTTTTTGTAACAAGAG